GTGCACCATGCCCCATTCCCCCTCCACACACATAAAAGTAAATAACTAAGTGTAAAACACCCAGTAGCTTTGTCATTCTCTATTCTGGTTGGTTACAATGATCTAGATTTTTAGTCAAGGGCAAAGGGCACCATTTCTTTACCCCTAACATCCAAAGAAGCACAGGCAAAGGTTTTAGACCCATACAAGAATTCCTGGAAGAAAAACACTACACTTTCTCTCAACGTGAACTCAGGAGAGTGTCTCAACTTAGTGCTAGTATATCTGTTGTTTGTTTAGTTGATTGGTTTTAATTTTTTATTTTGTGTGTCTGTCTGTGTATGTGTGTGTAAGAGAGAGAGAGAGAGATGACAGCTTTCAGGAGTCAGCTCCTTCCTTTCTCCAGGAATGACACAGGTCACCAGGCTTCTGTGGCATGCACTTTTACTCCCTAAACCATCTCTCCAGCCCTTGTTTTGTTTTATTTTGTTTTTAGACATGCCTAAGCAGCTCAGAGTACCCTTGAACTCACTATATATCCCAAACTGGCCTCAAATGCCTGATCCTCTTGCCACTTTGAAGTTGCAGACATGAATTGCCACAATCTGCAGCTCTGTCATTAGTCTCTTTCCAATTGGGGTACCCCTCAGTTAGGAAGCAGCGAGAAACTTCAGGTGCCAGTGGGGCATCCCTAGTCAGAATGCTCAGAACACAGTCTGGTATCTGCTTACTTTCACTCTGTTTTCATAGCTACTCTCAATAACTGTAAAAAATCTAAAAATGAAGAAACACTGGCACTCCCGCTGCGATATAAAGCCTCCCTGGGAAATTCTCAGTGGTAGATTTTAAAAGCAAGCTGACTCACAGGGTACTGGTGGGAGTGTCTGTTAGCCCAACAACCACTTAGTAAAACCCCACAGTACCATCTGCTAAAGTTGAACATATGTACACCCGCTGAAATCGATGCTCTCATCCTGGGCATCTATGCAAGACAGAGGAAAATTATCCCGTGTCCACATGTTTGTGGAAGCTACCATGCCTCTATCTGTATTCAAGAAACAAAGCTATTCAGGAGCATGGTGCATAGCTCTGTGGGTAGAGCGTGCTATTCAAGCATCAGACTTGAGTTCAAATCCCAAGCACCCAATTTAAAAAAAATAATCCAAGCAGTACACATCTGTAATCCCATCACTGGAGAGGCAGTAACAAAAGTCCAGGGGCCCGCACAAACAGGGCATAAACTACAGTGATACAGACATCTACTCCCAGCACTCAGGTAGTCAGGGCAGGAAGAAGATTTCAGCTGCATGGTGAGATCAATACATCAGCCTGAGTACATGAGACCAAAAAACAAATGTTAACTTCCCCTGGGTGTGGTCAGGAACATCAGTAATTTCAGCATTCTGAAGACCAAGACAGGATCTATCTCAGATTTGAGGCCAACTTAGACTACGTGGTGTCTCAAAAAAGTCAAATTCTTATAACTTAGAGGTCTATCAACAATATGGGTAAATAAACTGTTCATTTATACAATGGAGACAGGTGCAATTAACTTGAAATATATATATTTACACGCATATAAACTGTGTGTACCTATGCATGCACATGTGTATATATACATACAAATGTATATATATGCATATATATTTGTAATTAAATCTATGTAGACCCAAGTTAGAATCCTTAAGCATCCACATTTTTAAAAACTGCGTGCACAGTGGGGACAGGATGGCTGCAATTTCAGGCTGCTGACCATTACCAGTAGCAGGTAAAGCAAGCATGGAGTTAACTGTGTGCCCTTGAATGTAACCTCCACCATGCACTTGCTGTGTGTCCTGGGACAAAAGACCACTCTAGGCTTCAGCTTGCTCATCCATGACTGATGCTGATGACAACAGGAGCCATCTCACAGAGGCAGATTTCTGCAAGGACAGAGCACCTATGAACAGAACTTTAAGGGGTACGTTCCTTCTCCTGGCATCATTGGTTTGAAACCCTACCCTTCCTTCAAAGCTGTCTTACTTAGGTTTCCATTGCTGTGAACAGACACCATGACCACGGCAACTCTTATAAAGGAAAACATTTAATTGAAGCTGTCTTACATTTCAGAGGTCCAGTCCATTACCATCATGGTGAGAAGCATGGCAGTGTGCAGGCAGACATGGTGCTGGAGAAGGAGCTGAGAGTCCCTCAGGCAGCAGAAAGAGACCACGTGCCACACTGGTGTACCTTGAGTACAGGAGACTTCAAAGCCCACCCCCACAGTGACACTCTTCCTCCAACAGGGCCACACCTATTAATAGCCCATCCCCATGGGCCAAGCATTCAAACACAAGAGTCTAAGGGGTCCATTTCTACTCAAACCATCACACTAACCTTAATTTAAACATCACCTCTCCATAAATACTTGCCACCCATGCATATGAAATTTCCCAAAGATTTCTCAACAGAACTTTGGGCCAGACCCCTGCTGAGTCTCAAAAGCCTATGGATCAACTGGATCAATCCCCCTCACTCACCCCACCCCTGCTTTAATAGATTAACATCCTAGTGGTGAACAGGCAGGACCAAAAACGGCATCCCATGTGACTATGCAGCCAACAGAAATGCTGGTACCAAGGATCAGAACACAAACACCTCCAAGACACATCAGAAACAGAGCAAGAATAAAATAAATCAACCAAGAAGCTTCCTGCGGCTCTCACTTCTGCAACTGAAAAACAAAACAGAACTCCAGAGAAATACTTCTGCATCACAGAGAAAATATGAACAAACAGCCACTGTGTGGTATGGGAGGAGCGGTGGGTAGCACTAAGGATTATAGCAGAAGATTGATCAAGTGTCCTTTCAGGAGGAGCTTCCCTGCCTTTTCAGCCTAGCAAGCACATGGGAAGTGTGGCTGTCATCTTCTGATTTCTTAGGAGACTGGAAAATTATTTTCTCAGATGACATCATTCACACTTTATTAAATTTTAAATAAAAGCCATTTGTTCTAATAAAATCCAAAATAAAGGCACCGCATGGCTGTGTTGAGGAAGTCACTCAAACACGTGCTCAGCCCCCAGCTGTATACACCTCAGTAACGTTCTTCCCGTTCTTCCCTACTGTTAAATGGCTGTTCTGAAGCGCCGCATGTCACTTACGGCTTTGCACTCACTACTAACATTAGTTAGTTGGTTGGTTTAGTTACTTATGTTATACTTCTTATGGCTTCAATACCCAGAAAATGGAATTCACTTATCCAACATGGGGGGGGGGGGACTACGAAAAAAGAAAAACCCAAAACTAGGGGGGAAATTAACTTTGTAACATCTTTCTGACTCATGTCCTTTGCCTAAATTCCACCCTTCCTCTTCACCTAGTATCGCCCTCTCTTGGTCTCCTTTCTTCTGGTTTTTATTTATTTATTTTTGAGACAGGGTCTGCAATTTATAATACCCATTGCTTCAAACGTTTAAAAAGGAAACACCCCATGAGCCACAGAGCAATGTCAGCCCTAGGGTAGACCCGAGGGCTAACAATTTGTAACCTCAGTGAGGGTTGGGGTGTATGTTGGGGTGGTGTGTGAAAAGGCAAGACTGCCAATGTTGGACAAATAACAGGGCTCGGGTACATCTGGGATGCAGAAGGCTTATCTCCAACACTTCACAAACCAGCCACCAGGATGCTCCCTCACAACACCAGCACTTCAGCGGAAGCAGGGGCATCAGGTCAAGATTATCCTCACCTACATTATGAATTTTGAGATCAACTTGAGATACAAACTGTGCTTCATGGTGTGTGTGTGAGCACACATACACAGAGACGTTGATGGGAAAGTGTGTTAAAAAATCCTAAGAATCAAGTTCTGTTTATTGTTTTACTTTCAATATGAAGCATGAGTAATCACGGGGTTGGGCTAAGAAGCGGGATTGAGAGAAGAAAACTACAGGTGTGGAGTGGGGAGGAAGGCAATATGGCTCAGTGGGTAAAAGGCAGTTGCGAAGCCTGACCACGTGAGTTCAGTTCCCAGGAGAACCAGTTTCCACGACTTGTCCTCTGAACTCTGTGTCCCACAAATAAATGTTATTTAAAAAAAAAAAAAACAAAGGAGGGATGGAGGCAGGTAGAAGCCCGTGGCACAGGGAGAAGCCTGGGGGGAGGAGCAGGATTAGAATACCATGCAGGTGCAGTGGATGGAAGGCCAGGGAAGAGAGGCAGGATTTAGGGGATTCAAATCTCACAGTCCCTGGGGTTCTTGGTTAAATTAGGAAGGGTATTACCGGCTGAGGCTAAAGGATGAACGGCAGTGAGAGCAAGAAAAATCGTCATAGTAGTGATGATGATGATGGTGATGATGATGATGATGATTAAAGTAACAGAGGCACTGTTTCCTGGGGTGGCCGGTCTGAGTATTTACGGTGATGGCTCCATTGCACAGGTGGGCAAGGGTCTCCATCACAGCCTCAAAGCTCCAGGTTTAAGGGCTGTCCCTTGATACCCCGCACCTGTGGGACTCCACAACCCATGCTCCTGGCCTGTTGCAGGGTACCACACACTGAGCCCACCACAGACATAATGCACACATGCTCAGGTGCACACACGGCCGGATTCACAGGTGCAGCAAGCCCAACAGAGTCTGGGGACCCCTCTCAGAGGAGGAGACAGTGTGCACATGCACAGTCCCATGAAGGAAAACGGACTCCTGAGTGCAAGCTCCTTGCAGAGTCCCTTCTCCTTGGTTGCTGAAATTCGTGTGTGATGGACAGGCGCCGGGAAAACAGATCAGGTTTAGCAGAAAAAACAAACAAACCGACTCAACCTGATTATAGCCCCCTCCTCACCAGCCCACATGGCTTTGGAGACCCTCCCTTCCCAGACCCCAGACCTAGAGCAGCTGTGCTGCGAACCCGCCCACCCCAGGCACACGCATGCATACGCGTGCACAGTCACACGTGAATGCATCTCCTCGATTACTGCCCACGCCCCCGGCCCAATCTCCCGCCCCCTTCCCGCCCCCGGGGGTCCCTCTAAGGACTCACCCTCCCCAGTCAGACCCTGTCAGGCACTGCAGAGCTGGAGCTGCAAGGACTGCGGTTGCGCAGACGCTGAGGTTGCGGGTGGGAGGTGGGACCTCGGGGGAGGAGAAGGAGGCGGCCTTCTTTCTTCCTCCTCCTCCCACTAGGAGGCTGCACTTGGACAGAGGTGGAGATAAGAGTGGAGGGCTGACAGAGACCGGTGACCTGTGGTGTGGTTGCAGGAGAACCGAAGTAGTATAGACCCTGAGAGCCCAGCCAAAGTGGGGTACGCCCCCACCCCAATTAAGTTATGTCACAGTCCAGCGTGCAGATACCTGCAACGGACATTTTCTTGCAAATGCCTCTCCCAGGTTCTCTACTCTAAAAACCCGGGTCTAGGGTAAGTGGAGGCCGGAAGGAGCATGGCAGCCTGGAGATTCCTAGGTCCCATAGCTAGAATTAGGGACTGACTGTGCCATCTAGGGGTATTATTTACTATTTCTGTTCCTCGGTTTCCCATTCTGCTAAGTGGGAATAATAACAACAATGACCACCCTCCGGATGGTGAAAGTAAAACTAATAAAAATAAGTGATACATGCATAGATGTTTATTGTTGTTTTGTTTTTCCTGAGTTGAGGACTATAGCCCAGACTGACTCTGAACTCACTAAGTGGCCAAGATTGACCTTGGACTTCTGATCCTCCAACCACTACTCCCCTAGTGCTGGGGTTATAGGCATGCACCGTGTACCACCATGCCCCATTTAACAGGCACAGTTCTTAGAAAGTGTCCAGTAACTGTTAGTGGTATCTTGATCACCATCATTCAAATTTTACAGCAGAGACCGTTGCCAAGTTACTTTCAGAACGGCATATCAATTTTCCTTTTAATTTAGGTGGATGGAGAAATGGCTCCCCAATTATGGGCACCCACACACAACCACCTGTAACTCCAGCTCCAGAGGATTTGACCTTTTCTGGCCTCCATGAGCCACCGCACTCAGTGCACAAACGTATACACACAAATACATATAAATAAAAATTTTAAAATATTGCTTTTTTTTTAAGTTTTGACTGAGCTGTGGGTAAGGAAACTTACTTTCACTTATTTCCCTGGCAAATTTATTTTCATTTCTCTAGTTAGTAGCAGAATAGAGCAAATGTGACTGTTGTTCAGATTAGTTTTCTCTGAAAACAAAAACACTCTAACCAAAAGCAGAGTACAGGAAAGGATTTATTTGGCTTATGGTTCCAGGTCACAGGTCGTCAGTGAGGGAGAAATGGGACAGCAATCTAGAGCAGTAACCATGGAGGAACATGGCTTACTGGCGCACTCACAAGCTCATTCTCAGCTAGCTTTCCTACACAGACCAGATCACCTGCCCAAGGAATGGCACTCCCCACAGCAGGTGGGCCCTCCTGAACCAGTTAACAAGTAAGGCAATTCCCCTCACAGACACGCCCACAGATTAATAGGACCTAGACCGGTGGCTCTCATCCTGCAGGTCACAGACCCTTTGGGGGTCAAGTGACCCTTTCACAGGGGTCTCCTAAGACAGTCAAAAATCGGGTATTTACAGGACAACTCATGACAGAAGCAAAATTACAGTTATGAAGTAGCAACAAATTTAATGGTTGGGGTCACCACAACATGAAGAACTGTATTAAAGAGTCACAGCATTAGGAAGATTGAGAACCACTGTTCTAGATAATTTGTTAATCAAAGCTTTCCTCTCAGAGAACTCTAGGCTGTGTCAAGTTGACAAGTTAAATCTGATCAGGACACCCAGGAAACAAGCCTCTTGGCATTCCTGTAAGAAATTTTCCAGATCAAGTGAACTAGTGGGAAGAAACCTCCCCTACCAATGGTAGATGGGCAATGGTAGGTGGCACTATCCCCCGGCCTAGGGTTTCAGATAAAATAAAAAGAGCACAAGCATCCATCACTCCCTGCTCCTGACTATAGAAGTTCCAAGCTCCTCCTGTGACTGACTGTACCCTCAGAGGGTGAGCCAAAGTGAACCCTTTCTTCCTCAGGTCGCTTTCGTTAGATGTTTTGTCACAGCGCCAACAAAAGCACCAAAATATATATGCTTTCTCATTAGAAAATTATCCAAATGGGTGATTTTATTAAATACATAGCAAATAAAAGTAAAAAGAAAAAAAAGGTGAAAGAATAACAAATAGCAGACAGATAGCTAGCAAAACATCATCACACCAGGTGCTTACAACATTCAGCAAACTACAGTTGCCTGGTAGAGCAAGCAAAAGTAGCATCAAGCTAATAGTTATAACATTCAGCAGAGGTAGGCAGATCTCTGTGAGTTTAAGGCCAGTGTCTGATCTACAATGTGAGTCCGGGACAGCCCAGGCAGAGAAACCCGGTCTTGAAAAACAAAAAACAAACAAAAATCAGCAGAAATAACATGGGAAACCCCACTGTAGTCACTGATTGAGAATCCCAGGAAGAGTACTGAGTTCTTTCCATAGATGGCCTTCCAGCATTTCTTTTACACTGCAGGTATTTTTATACCACAGAATAAACAATAGTAATGTCTGTTGGTAATGGCTTACCTCCTGGCTCTTCTCAAGAACAGTGTGGTTTCTTTGTTTGGTTGGTTGTTTGGTTGGCTGGGTGATTTGTTTTGTTTTGTTTTTTGTTTTGTTTTTGTGACAGGGTTTCTCTGTGTAGCTTTGCCTGTTCTGGAACTAGCTCTTTAGACCAGGCTGGCCTTGAACTCACAGAGGTCCACCTACCTCTGTCTCCTGAGTGATGGGATTAAAGGAGGGTAAAAGGTAGAAAGGACTATGTATGAAATTGTCAAAAATCAAAAAAATTAAATACATGACAATTTACCAATATTATTTACATTTTGTTGTTTCATCATTTATGGGAGACACTTTATGTTTTGAAAATTAGGAGATGAGTCTCCAGCCATTCCATGGAAAGCTTAAAATGTGAACTATGAATTACAAAACAAAGCACTGCATTCAGTTCTCACTGTCTCCTTTAGTATCAAGATGTTAGGGAAAGGACAGACCAGGGGAGATAACTAGTTTATGACATTGTGAGGTCCCCAAATGCAGATCCAAGCATGTACTAGTATAAATTTAAGAATGTTGATTTTCAAAAATGGAGACAAGAATAATTCCTGCCTCCAAGGGTTATTCTGAAGTTAAATGGGTTAGTACTCATTACTCATGCAAAGTGAGTGCTTAGTAAAGCACTCCACAAGGGACCAGCTATTGGATCAACAGAAAAAGGTGCTTGCTGCTAAAACTAGGGTTCAATCTCCAGGACCCACATGGTGAAAGGAAAGATCCTCTGACCATACATACATACAACTATGGCACATGTGCATAAACACACACACACACACACACACACACACACACACACACTCACCAAATAAATTAACAAGCAAACAAGTTTCCATTAAATTATCATTATTTTAATTTTTCTTTGTGTATAGGTAGGTGTGTAGGGAGGAGCCCTCATTTGTTTATACATGTGATTGTGGAAAGGAAGCCCCTGGAATTCATCTTCTCAGCCCCTCACTGCCAGCACTGGGGTCACAGGTATACGCCAACACCCATAGCTTTTATTTGAGTTCAAGCCCAGCCTGGCCTACAGAACAAGTCCCAGTGAAGGAAGGGCTACACAAAACAAAAAAACTAAAGCAAAAACAAAACAAAAACCTGTCTTGGAAAAAGAAAAGATAAGAACAGTGAAGAGAGTATCTGGAATCTGATTCCACCATTTTAAATTTACTCAAACTTCAGTCTTTCATGCTTTCTTCACCTTTAGCCATGTTTCTCCACTAGTGATAGATGCCACCTTCCTAGCTTCTTACACTTCTCTGCAACATCATAATACTATTTATTCTACTTTTTAATTTAAAATTTTTAATAATTTATTCACTTTACTTCCCAGTTGTAGCCCTTCCTTCCCTTGTCTCGACCCAGTTCCACCCTCTCTCCCTCTTCCCCCTTATTTCCCTCCCATATTTCTCAGAAAGGGGAAGCTCTCCTGCCCTATAGACCCTTGATAGACCACAGCCTATCAAGTCTTATCAGGATTGCCTGCATCCTCTTCCTCTGTGGCCTGGCAAGGCCATCCCACCAGGAGGAAGTGATCAAAGAGCAGGCCACAGAGTCCATGTCAGAGACAGCCCTTGCTCCCCCTATGAGGGGACCCACATGGAGACTGCACTGCCTATCAGCTACATCTGAGCAGGGAGTTTAGATCCTCTCCATCCATGGTCCTTGGTCGGTGCATCAGTTTCTGCAGGCCCCCATAGGTCCAGACCTATTGGCTCTGTTTGTCTCCTTATGAAGCTCCTGTCCACTCTGGGTCCTTCTATTCCCCCATTCTTTCCTACAACTACTTGTGCTCTGCCCAAAGTTTAACTGTGAGTCTTAGCATCTGCTTTGATCCCCTGCTGGGTGGAGGACATTTATGGTAGGCTCCCACCCTGTTCCCTCTCTTCAACCGCTTTCAGTGTCTATTCTATTTGTCCTTCTGAATGAAAATTAAGCGTCCTCCCTAGGGCCCTTCTTGTTGTTTCACTTTAGGTCTGTGGATTGTACTATGGTTATCCTGTATTATATGGCTAATATCCACTTATAAGTGAATATATTCCTTGGGTCTTATTCTGGTTCTGGGTTACCTCACTCAGGATTATTTTTTTCTAGTTCCATCCATTTGCCTGCAAATTTCATGATTTGCTTGTTTTTAATAGCTGAGTAGTATTCCATTGTGTAAAAGTGCCACAATTTCTATATTCATTCCTTCGTCGAGGGACATCTAAGTTGTTTCCAGATTCTGGCTATTATGAATAAAGCTGCTATGAACATAGTTAAGCAAATGTCCTTGTTGTATGGTGGACGATATTTTAGGTATATGCCCAGGAATGGTATAGCTTGTCGGAAGGTAACTTGATAGAGTTGGTTCTCTCATTCCATCAAATGGTCCCAGGGATTTAACTCAGGTCATCATTCTTGGCAGCAATAACCTTTACCCACTGAGTCATCTTTCTGGACTAGAAGGGTACATTCTAATGATGAAAGGGCACAA